GCACACACGTCACACCCCAGATGTTCGCCTGTCCCTTCTTCTCTGCCGCGCAGCACATTATGAGTGCCGTTGCATCGTCCAAGCCGACGTCTGTGTCGATAATGAGGTTAGCTACCTTTTTACACTGCGCCACGGCCATGCTCGTATGTCACACTGCGAGCCCTTGCAACAGAATGGCATTCGGGATTATAAAAGACTTCAAAATATAACTGAAAAGCGAATATAAACATCTGTACCTTCACATCCTTAAATTTAACACCACAAAGAACTGTCTTAAATAAATGGGGTTAAGTTACCTTTATTTCCACAACGTAACATGAGCCTGTAAACCTAAAAAAAAACCTATTTGACAGAACCTGACATAAATCAAAGTACAATATTAAAAGGAAATTTGATGGAATTATCCTCTTTCAGCTAGCTGGTGATGTGGTCCAGCACCAAGTTCTTTTGGCCATCGTATGGAAACTTCGTGGGGGGGGGGAGTTCGTTGAAAGCTGAAATACGCGCCTGTAGGTAATGAGTGCAGGCGCTAAATTGTGAGAACGCATGGACGCCATGATGGAATTATTACCAACGAAGTGAATGTGACTTGTAACGTCATGACATTCATAAGAGGTTTAATGAGAACTCATACATCGCATGAAAGGTCTTAATAATACACGTCCCTTTGTCTAGTCTAAGGAACACGTGATAAATGTTTCACAGAGCTATTTTTAATTGACGCCTTGTTTAAACTTCTGCTTTATGACCTTATAGAGGCAAGTACTGTGTCCACACACAAAAAAACAACAACAAATTTTGACTTTCATGTCAACGCTGGAGTAAAAGGTGACGTCACTAAGCAGATCTCGCTAACTTTCATCTGAGTGTAAGTGACTTCTGCAAACGATTTTTTGTGTGTGTGTGTTTCGTGATGAGACTGGAAACGTGTTCTTGGCCCAGTTAGACTTGAAGCGACCCAGACGGAACAAATCCGTACATTAGATTATGTTTATACATAAATAATAAATACAGACCGGATGATAACTAATTATTAGTCGAAACATGTCAAAAACATACGTTTCAAAATAATGTAGAATATGTGAAAATAACGTAAGTTGTGTGTTAAGTGAAGGTATATCACTAAAAAGAAATAATTTTTAGACCTATCGCGATGATTTTTAAGTAGCCACGCCTTAATTTCAGCAGAAGAACCGACGGAAAATGATAAATCTCGGAAATCACTAGATCATAAATCCGGAATAACGAATAGAGTATCGAACAGCGGTCTTCGATGCGGAAGACCTATGTACATACGCATCATAAGAATTAAACACGCCTTCGTATTATCTTTTGGTTATTTGAAAATGCACTGTGAACCGGTTCAAAGTACAGTCCCATCTCGTAATGCGAACGACGCTCAGCTGAGCGTCTACGATTTCTCTCAGATCTTATACGAAATGCCACGGTCGAGTGTGTCAGACGACGACTGCCGAATGTCGCCGATTACATCCGCTCGAACGGAACCTAATTTCATGCCGAACAGGCATCGCTCGTCGTCTGCCCCTTCACTTTTTGCTACCATTTGAAATAACCACGAGATAAAGAACGTGCTTCACTGAGATGCCGGTGGTCTTGCCTGATCATTCAGTACAAGTATAGGGTACGGACACTGAAGACAACTCTGTAAGGGGGCAATCATTGACCCACCACACGTACCAAGAGCGACTGGTAATAGCACCCAACACCCTGTTTAGAAAATTGCAATTATTCGTTTTCCTGTCTCAACTCGGTTATTCTTCACGCACGTAAATGCTTCAATATGCTCCTGGCATTTTACGTGTTTGCTCCGCCGCCAACTCAGAAATTTATTGCATGTTTGAACTAGCCAGCCAAGTTATCCGCGAAGCAACAGACGCCTAATTAAAAGTCATTTCTCGTCTTTCCTTCTTCTGTCTCGTTATGACCCGCTAACACGTCAGCACTCAGGGCCCTGTTTGCCTTTTCTCTCGCCTTGCTCCATACTGCACGCAGTTAAACACCTCCAGAAGCCCAAGTTTTAAGTTCGGTTCATGATGGAATCTGTTCAAATACCTAATCATTATGATATTGACCCCTTAAAGCTCATTTAAACTGTATTCAAGAATTCAGTCCGTACCGCGAAGAAAACACAGGACCTCACTGTTATATAGCTCAACTGGTTAACCCTTTGAAACCGCAATTCGTCTAAATAATAATTTAAGAATTCAGTCCGTACCGCGAAGAAAACACAGCACTTCACCATTACGAAGATCAACTGGTTAACGCTGGTTAAGGAAATAATCGCTGTTTATTCTGAGAATCATATACGAAACACGTAAGTACAAAATGAAGAGTTATTATAGATTGTTACAGAAGTTGGTAAATATACTTACCACTCTGGTATAAATAAAAAGGTAAGGGCACAGAGTAGAGTTCTGAGAAGAATATTCATACCTTCGAAGAAGTAACAGGACGACAGAGAAACACACACAATTAAGTGCTTCATAATTTGGATAATTTCTTCGCCATTTATTATCAGGGTGATGATGGCAAGTGGAAAAGTGCGGACAGGTCGTGCAGGAAAATAGGAAATGCGAAGAAATTTAATCAAACTATTCGATAAACCTAAACGTAGATGGAAGGACAATATTTAAAATGCGTCTTCAACAAGGTGTAAGGACGTGGATTGGATTAAACTGGAACATCATAACAGCCAGCGGCGATATCTTGTGAAGACGGTGAATGGACCTTCGGGTTCCATAAAAGGCGACGAATTTCTTGACCACGTGAGCGAATATTAGCTTATCAAGAATATGACTTAATGATTAAGTTCGAAACAGCATTATTAACGCAGTTTCTCAACCGGGGCTTCGAAATTTGTTCCTAACGAGCCCGCGAATTGAGACAATTTTACTTTTATTTATTTTTACGCTGTATTGATGTTTAGATCTTAATCGCATTTGTTTACGTCAGAACAAAAACACGGACAGAAAATTATACATTCTATTCATATTATAGTTAGACAAAATTCTATTTTATCCAAATTTTGGAAAGAGGTTCCTGTCATCACGGAAATTTTTAAAACACTGTGTTCATAAGACCTAACCTGTAGAAGCTGTAAGCAAGGGAAATATTTCTGTCTTTGCTAGGTTCTCGTAAAATCTTCCGTTATCTACGTCCAGCACGCAATCTTATCTGCACGAGAGTTCAAATCTCACTGATAACAAGGACAATTATGTAAGTCCAGTGGGACAGAACTATGCTACAGGCGCGTGTGCTGCCTCCATCTTCAGGGCAACGAAGGAGGCATCAAGCATCTCTGAAACGTAGGTCAACGGCGCAACAACCTAGAGAGGCTGGAGAAACAAATAATGTACACAAAATTTTGATGTGGAAATCTCTTAGAAAATATTCGTTTTTTTTAAAAAAAACAAGAAGGTAATAGTATATTAATCTCAAGCAGGCAGATTTTTAAGATACAAAATAGCTAAAAATTACTCTTAATCATGCTCGCTGTCAGACTTTTACTTAGTTACGAAACAGGGAAAGGTCACGACTTGCGAACAGGCGCCTGATACAGACCAACCTTTTGCCACTGTAAAAGAAATATATATCACGTGCAAACCCTGACGAATATTGATTGCAGTTTGACAGAAGACGTGTGTGATCATACTTTACCTGTTCCCTGACGTTTGACCCCTCGGAATGTTTTCCGTCTGGCCGCAAAACGGAAGTCGCCGAAGGACTAACTCACTAGCACCGCGGAAGAGACAGCACTGAGACGCATAACGAGACGCAAGTCGGCAGCGGGAGGGAACACGAGCTAATCGCCCAGATAAGAAAGAAAATAATCTCGTGTCCCACCTGCGGCGACCTTGACAGGCAAGATTAAGTTACGTAAATACTAGACGAAATAAAGCCAGCTCCAATGGATTAATATCGCTGTCAGCAGAGAAAAGAAATGATAATCTGCTAACATAGCAGCTGAGTTTAATTAAAATCGCCAGAAAAACGAATAGAAATTGACAATTCCGGGTTAAAAGGGGCGACCAACTTCAATACGTAAGCACTACAGACACTTTGCAGCCTTACTTCAAAAAAACAAAAAAACAAACATGATTTGTGCCAACTCTCATGAAACTACTCTTCGTTTCCTTAAACTTTTTACGACGTGGTACATATTGTTACCACTAAGCTTTAAAGGGTTATGAATCCAGGCCACACGTTTCTACACAATTTCCTTTTTACTGATTTTAATATTATCCTCCCATCAACACCATTATGTTGACAGATTTATTGCTAAGGTTTATTTTAAATTTAACGACAGCGTTGGATAGTTTCTTGCGATTACCATAGAACTATTAACGTAGCATTTAAAACATCCCGAATTGTACACAAGAACAGTGCTATATTCCCTTAATATCACCGGCCTAATTGATGAATCATCGTCACAAACCACTAGAGAAATGTCGAGGGTTCATATTTTGTGACGACCCGGCAAATCTTCGTTCGTGATGTCAGAGAAATTTTTAAAATAAAACGGCATCTTTATTCTAGGGTCATTTGTGCTGTGTGAGAGTACCTTTGTTAAATTAAAACCTTCCCCGATTACATGAACAATAATTCTTCTACAGTGTCTATGATCTCTGCTGTCTATTGGTTCAGAGAGTAGCACAGTTTAAGGCGTATGAAGTGTTTACTATTATCTCTGCCAAACAATGCACTTCCGTCTGCAATAAATGAACATCAAGACGAAAGAATGGGATATTCTTGTCAAATTCAGATATATTCTTCTTTATTGCAGCTAAAAATACGCTCACCAAATATTACATTTTCTTCGAAAAAGTCTCATAACGCAATTAAATCCTTGTTTTTTAAGTCTAAACGTGATAAAAAGTTTGTAAACACAAACAAGACATTGCAGACAGATTTACAGTTACAAACTACAGAGAAGATTTTTTGACATCACTGGCTTTTCTTTAAGTCTCTCTGTCTTTCTGAATTTATTTTTTGGGCTCCATAATTTACATTTATTACGGTTTTAATTTAGACTTTATTTTCTGTTACCCTTCTTGCATTAGCTAAAGGATGAGCCCTTTAGTCCTTTCGCTCCCTCGAAACAAACTTCGCTTATTGAAACGATTAGGTACATTTCGGAATTATTACAGTCATTAGATATCTCTTTGATGTTCCACTGTTCTAAATAAATGCATTTAAATAAGTTTTATTAAAGATACAAATAGCGGAAGGCCGGTTTAACCTAATCTAGGACTGACACGGAATACAACAAACTTCCAGAAACAAGTCGTTAACACGTTGACGGGTTATTTCTTATCTGAGGCGAAGATCAAATTTTTTTTTAAAAAAAAATCAGCCGATCTTGGGCCTTAAAAGGGTTAATTATCCCAACTGCAACATGTGTGTCGTCTGGCATAGGATTTTGACCACACTTCTTGTATTAATACACGGCTCTGCGTGTTCAGAGCTCTTGCTGGACCACAATGCATTTTTCTCTTTGGAGTTCAGCCAACCGTGTCGACTGATCGGCGAGGGGTCAAGGGGGTGGATGTAGGGTGTCATCACAAAGGGCAGAACTCGCTTTGCAAGACAAGTTAGCGACCTCACTGCCAGCCACCGTCAACGCTTCCACGTCCCCACAACATCAAATGTTCCTACGCTGTCTTGGAGACCCATAAATATCGCAGAGATGTTCCGGTGTTTTCAATTCCCTAGACGAACATGGCGACAGCGAGAATTTGTGGAGTGAGAAAAATGCTGTCACCATTAAATATTCAGTCCTGAAGATAGAGACAATATGTTTCTCCGAAACGGTATTTACCCACAAGTACAAATAACGTTACAATCCAGGTAAACATCGACAGTGACGAGAAATGTCTAAAATTTCGAAGCTAAATTAGTGTTTTAAATTATGGGACTCGATGTATAATATCAGTGTTAACACGGCAAAGGATATAGTCAATTAGAAAAAAAAATTATATTATCTCTAAACGTTTGTTATAAAAGATAATGAATTCTTTCTCTCGGATTATGCTAGTTTCATCTCAATCGTCGTAAGTTACAATATATTCCGAAAGCAGACAACTTATTTTATTTCGTATTTATAGTTCAATACGAGACACAGAGTAAGTAATATAAATGCTGTTGGACGAAACTGCAGATCAGAGAAAAGCTGACATTTGCTGAGTGTTGTAATAATTATCACAACAGATAATTATCAAACGGAAATCCTGGACCATTTCATAAACTGACGAAAGTAATAAAACAGTTAAACACAAAAAAAATTACCAAGTTTTATTTTTTTTTTCCATGAGGATTTATTAAATGTCACGTTTTTAATTGATAAATGTTAACTTAAATCAAATCCCTTCACAACTGGGAATGATAATTTGAATTTTTACAAGTATTGTCATACTTATAACGAAAAATACAAAACAAACAAAATTGTTGTTGTCACAGACAAATTATAAAATGGCGGACGTTGTGTTTCGTCACTTCCTTTTGAAACAAGTGACGGCGTTAAAATAACATCGCCAGTACACTCTCCCCTTCTGCTGACCGCGGCGCTGCAGGTCCATCTGCAAGAGAAAAACTTTGCTGTTTAATGCATTCACAAAATCAACAAAATTAAGAACAGTTTAAATCAAATATCGGGTTTAAACTCGGACCCGGTTGGAATAAGTTGGTACTCCTGTGAAGAACACTTCAGTTGCCAGTTGAATAATTAAAGTAGCGTCTATCACATTAACATCCGCAGTTTAACAAAGCAAATTACAAGCGGCATTACAGGGTTCCGAAGGTTGAGATCTTCCACCAAAACCCTCAAACATACACGAATTTCCTGCATCTGTATTAGACTTAAATAAAGACTTCATTTCGCTGTTGTCGATTAGACGGGATGGCTCAGTCGGTAAAGGTGAGGGACGGACAACCTGGCTTCGATTCCCGGAAACGAGTTCCTTGCCACCCTACGCCGCTACCCCCCAACCACCACCACATCCAACATGCTGATGCGTAAAAATGACCAATCATATGCATCCATTGCGGGGGTAAATAATGACTGGAGCTATTCCTCCACTCCCCCGTACGTTATCGTCCCTGGAGGACTAGAAGTGTCCAAGGGTTAATTTGCAGTATATAGAAACTCCAGAGCTGAACAGACATCTTTGTCGGGAAAACCAGATATCGAAAGAAAACATTTTTTCTGATGCTCTTTGTGGTTTATTTTCCTTGAGGTTAGAGTACGGACTAATGTAGACACTCGAGAAGCTTCTGTTTGCTCGGCCACTCGGAGGAAGTGGCTTAGTGTCCGGCAAACGCGAAGGTTGTCTAAACAAGGTCCCGGAATTCGCGTGGGAGATGCAATTAAGACGAACATTCTACATGACATTTGTTCGTCACAAACGTTTGTTAACAATATCATAAAAGACATCGAATAAATATGAACGTCCAAACCGAAACTAAACTTAAAATCAATTCAGCTCATTTCACAATGTCAACCGACGTATTGTCACATTTTAATAATGTTTTCAAAAATGAGGTTTTATATTTGAGCGTAAACACGTGACAGTCTTAACTGTGCTCTAAAGTGTTATGTCCTGCCCGTATCAGTTGTATCTCTACTAACTTAAGGACCACGCAACAAAGGCGTATGGACAAGTGGAGGTTTATCTCCACGCATAAACCTCGGTAATATGTGGAGGCAATGGTCGACTTCGATCCGCCACTGCTGCATTCAAGCCAAAGGGTAAAAATGGCTGACCCCCCTCAAAAAATGACATTTGGGGCACGCCGATAAACCTGACCGAATACGACGGACGCCCTTTGTAACATTCCGTGACACAAGTTGCATTACGCATCCATACAATGCACATCTGTAATCAATTATAGGTAAAAGCAGATTTGCACTAATGCGGAAAGACTGGTATAGACGCCGGGAACGTAGGGAATGTTTATCCCATCGCATGGGAGAATTGACCTAACCCAACCTCTACGAAAAAAAGTTTACAGACCAACATCGAGGAGCATATCAGATATCTGAAGAATAATTTACAGACTGCGAAAAAAAATCTGCTGAATTACTAACAAACGCTGATAAAAATGTCTACCGAATGACTCATTAACACTGCGAAAAATACCTGGATCTTTTAATTAACTCCCTGGTCCAGTCTTCGAAACTCAACAGTTAAAATTTTTAACGAGAAACTTAATTTTCTTTTACACAAATTAATCATATACATTAAGGGAGGAATAGGGAACAGTGCGTTTCAGCAAGATCTTGAGGGTATATTTTGGCCGAGGGGGGACGAAGTGACGAGAGGCTGAAGAAAACTACGCGAAAATCTTCAAAAGTCTTCAGCAAATATTATTTGGGTGATGAAATAAAGGAAATTTAGATTATCAGGGAATGTAGCACGCACAGGAATATAATAAAAAGGATTAAAAATCTTGGTGTAAGAGCTGAACGAAGAAACAACTTGAGAAATCCATGCATAAATGAGAGGATAATATTAAAGTGGATTTTAAAAAAATTAAAATTCGACGGTGTAGACTGTACTCAACCGGCTCAAGACAATCCAATGGTGGAAAGAAATTATTGCAACTTTTGGATCCATGAAGTAAGAAGTAACTTTTTGAGAAGTTCAGCGATTATCACCTCCTCAATGAAGTGTCCCACGTGCATATATGGAAGTGCATGCTTCACAGTTTATGATTGTCTTCAGATACAAACCTTAGACTTCACTACCGAAATATTTTTACTGACAAATCCTTCTAGAAATCGCACAATCGTAATACGACAGAAATAATCAGCGACGGCTATCAGAACTATAGCAAAATACCCTGGGAAAAGCAAACAAGGCATCGGTTTGGAACCTGATATCAAACAGTGCACCTAATAATACAACAGAGCACCTACAAGTCTTGGATCCACGACAAACACAAGAATGGACGCAGACACAAGATGACGTCGTGAAAGCGTACGTTCACCTTAACCGTGACGTCAGAACGTGGTGAAGCCAAAACGACAATACTAATAGGTCACAATAGGCCTGTATCAGAGACAATTCCAAGCAACTTAACCTTATTTAAAGCAGGGCAGATCATTTCGGAAAACGCAACGAACTAAGGCCAGTCTGTGTGATGAAGATCATAGGTAATTCATCCCTGAAGATGGAGACAGACGTGAACGTTTCAGCCCTCGTAGGGCCACTGAGTGTCTTCCTCGGTGCTTTTACATTTCGTTAAACATTCTTTTACAGGTATTAATATTTTAATGCGAAAGTTCACAGCAGCGGGTCCGCTGTCTAGAAAATCCGAACGTATTATGAAAAGTTCCGTATGTAACGACTATTTTAACATCAGGAAATTCTGTGTTTTGTGTTCCGTTTTTGAGTTTCTCATTATTCTCAAAATAAAAAGCGACTGTTTCCCTGAACAGTGTCAACCGACTGATCGTTGCCATGGAGACGGGTTTTGTTTTCTTTGGCACAAGAGCTGTAATTTTAAGTATTACTTAGACGAACTTCGTGCTTCAAATAAATGGCACCGAAAGGCCCAGTTGTCAGGTCACATGTGGTTTTATAGAAAAAGTTAATTAAAATTTTGTAGCTAATCTTATATATAATTAACGAACAAAAATTTTATAACTGTGTGGGCAAAATGATTTTCTATATTCTGATAATTTTAGGTTAGCCACTAGAAGAAGTATGGCTCTCGATAGGGACCAGTGGCGGGTTCTTGTGGCCACGGTGATGAACCTTCGGGTTACATAAAATGTTTGGGATTTCTTGAGTGGCTAAGCGACTGCTGGCTCCTCACGAAGGACTCGGCTCCGTGGAGTAAGCAAATAAGCACGCAGAAGAAGTAACGTACTTCGTAATTTCCACTGAACTACAAAGAAACACGTAATCTGTAGAGCTGTGTTTCCGTTTATGGCACATGTGCGTATATAAGCCATTATTTATGTCTGGCCTCGCATTAACGCCTTTTGCATGATAAATAAAATTGTTTTTCTTACATGACTGAGCAATAAGCCTTCCATTTTCCTTTGTACTGTGACAGATCTAGAATCACTGCCACATTTACAAATAAATATGAAATTTCAATACTAAAACGCTGCCTCACGGGTGAAATTAGATCTTTCACATCAAGGAAGGAACGCTGATTGATCGGAAAACAGTGACAACTCAGTCGGTACAGGTTCTGGAGTTTAACGAGCGCGGTTCGATTACCGGAAGGGAATTTCTCATCTCTTTGCCACAATGCCCAGATCGGCTCTGAGGTTCACCGTCTTTATCCACTGAATACAGGGACATTTTTCGCGGGGGTGAAATAGAAGAAGTTTGGACCAACTGCATATAGTGGGGAGTAAGAATGCGTGGAGTTATACCTCCACTCCTCCATATGCCTGCATTACGTGGTGCTGAGCGAAGTGACAGTGGTAGATTGAGGGTGTTTGAGAGAGGGGTGGTGAGGATAAGGGATGAAGTGAAAGGGGGTGGAGGAAGTTGTATTCTGAGGTGCTTCACAATTTGCATTCAAGTCACGCACAAATACGCACCTTGTTCTCTGCAACGTTAGAAGCGAAGTTGCGATCGCCCTTACCATCCTCCACAGCCTTCTGAAGGGCCACCATGATCTTGTCCAGCAGAAGGGCCGTCCTTTTGGGAACTACCACCTGCATGCATGCAAAAACACATCTTGTTACTCACTCAAACACCGGTTCTTACTCAGACACTCGGTACGGAGACAGAATCTTTTCTTCCACGTGCCATCCTACTCACAATTCACAATCATTTAACGCTACATAACCTCATCAGTTGATAACGCAACGTAAAGTTACCAACAAGAAACTTTCTATTGATGTTGCGCCTTATAACCTCGTAGAAATTGACTGACATTTCAGAGGTTTCGTCATCAGTAAGCACCTCCGAAACGTCGGTCAATTTCTTCGAGATTACAAGGCGCAACATCCCTGAAGACGGCCATCCTCATAATTGCCGCTGTGAACCTTCGAGGTGGTCAGTGCGTGAGTATTTCCGAATAAATTCGTCTTCGATTTGTTACGTTTATTTTCGCGAGTATTTTCAGCAACTCGATTTCGACCATAAATGTTACAGCTTTGAGAAGGAGGCGAACTTTGACCTACCAGGGTCACTCATATTAGAAGTCGCCTGGCTTTCCAGTCCTAAACGTAGATTAGCTCTGTCAGCATCGCTGACAAAATGTTTCCCCGATATCAAATCTAAAACTTTTCCCCGATAACTTATCATTAACTCAAAACAAATTCAGATCCGTAAAGAATATATTTGAAGCATACCTTTTAAGACGTGTTCCTTGTTCACCGTCTCTAGCATGAAGAGAAGATCTACCCCAAGATCGTCTAAAAAGTATTTAATAAATTCAGTCCGTACCGCGAAGAAAACACAACACCTCACCATTACAAAGATCAACTGGTTAACGCTGTTTAAGGAAATAATCGCTCGTTACAGTGAGAATCATAATTCGTCTGAATGAAGAAAAAACGTCGATTCTTCCAAGCGGTAGGCCACTATCAGCGTTCCGACACTCTGCTGAGCATTGCAAGGAGCAGCCAACACTACACAGAACTTTGCTACTCTTTGTATCTCTTGCAATTAAGAACTTGAAGGCTTCGGATTACGTCTGCCGTTACAAGCACCGCCCACCTCTTAGAAAGGCTACAAGGAAAGCACAGCAGTGTTTAAATTATAACTGCGATAGGAACGAGATTATTAAAATTGAAGGCCACGGAACTTATATAAAATAACAAAGAGGCGCTGAAATTACGGCGGCCCTTTGGCATTATAAATCATTAGACGGGATAAGCGGACTCCTGAGATAATGAGGTTCAGTTCTGGAATGAAGAAAATAAGCCCGAGTCTTTCAGTAAAACGAGCAAGTGCCAATTATTCTAAGAATTTCTCTTCAGACTTCACTTTAGCGATTAAATATAACGCAGTGTTACGTTGCATGTAATTGCAAAAACACGTAAAAACATCAGCTTCAAAGCCTTGTAGTTTTTTGTTTTCTAAAATATGTCATCCGTCAGATTCTTTTTATGTGGGAATGGCGGAATTAGTGATAACATGTGATGAGGAGTCGCTTTGATTAAGTATGAAAAATTTATTAAACGTCCTTACAAATTATGCACAATCAACTTTTTGGTCAAATTACAATCTTGGCAAAAGATGGAAACATTTGAGGTTATGCCCGACTAATTTAATGTTGCCAGAGGCTGTTGCGGTGAAAATTTTAACAAAAATAAACACAAAATAGTGAAATTATCTCGTTAAATTTATTGTTAACCTGGCCTTAGTGGCGGAAGCCTTTCAGTGCCAGTTTGTATCAAAGTCGCTCCCAGAACTTCTTGCTATGTCGCGTAATAAACTACGTTTCATGTCCCCGAAGAAATTGGGCCCCTTCTATGCAACAAAGATCAACTGGTTAACGCTGTTTAAGGAAATAATCGCTGTTTGTAGTGAGAATTATTGTTCGTCTAAATTACATTTAAGAATTTAGTCCGTACCGCGAAAAAACACAACTCTTCACCATTATAAAGACCAACTGGTTAACGCTGATTAAGGAAATAATCGCTGGTTACGATTAGAATCATAATTCGTCTGAATAGTATTTAAAAAAAACTCAGTCCGTACCGCAAAGAAAACACAACTCTTCACCATTACAAAGATCAACTGGTTAACGCTGTTTAAGGAAATAATCTCGGTTTACTCTGAGAATCATATGAAACGCATAAATGCACTATGTGGACAAAACGTAGTATTACTGTGACGTCAAAGTAAGTGGTACACACAGTTACCACTGTGCTTCGCCGTGCAGTGAGACAGCTGAACGATTATCTGACAGAGGAAGTGTTTCAAAGAACGGGACAGACGTCCGACGACCACAACCGGGGCAGCAAACAAGGCGTCCCGTGGCTGTCAAGCGGCTAACACGATGTAGCATCAGGACGAGAGGGCCTCACCCGCGAACATTCTCAAAGACGAAGCTCGTAAGCTAAGAGTGCGCGCAGATTGAAGGAATCGCAGCTTCTTTCTTCGTAAATGGCTTTGTCGGTGATACAAGAATCATAGCTGACGAGTTTGGTTTCATAAATTTGTGCAAAACAACAAAACATGATTTTTTTTTTTGGAAATTTTTGTTCGCAAGCCTGAAAGTAGGAGACTATACGGAAGACCTAAGAATAGATGGGAGGATATTATTAAAATGGATTTAAAGTAATGTGAGGGAAGTTAACGCGGAGCACCTATAATATACAACTCTCTGAAGAATTTCGATAAACCATCGATTGTAATATCGAGGGCAGTATCGAAGCAGACGCTGACCGAGTATCAGCTGTTCTCCACTGTGTCATTCAGCGCATCGGTCAATCCAAAGTGATTTGCCCCTGACGATCGAGCACTTGACATTACAAAATACTAATTAATTCGAGTAGTCAGTGATGCGAGGGTTATCCCTAGGGCCACGGCCTCCTTCCAGTTACACAAGATTCACTGCCCCACCAATTCCTGTGTCTTGTAACTATACTGAAATTTGTAACCGAAGGTAAATTCTTACCACACTGAGACTTTCAAGAACATCGAAATTAAATTAATAACGTCGCCACTGATGTGGTGCATTTCGGTTTCCGAATGTTTAATGCGTACAGGTTTCAACAAGAGCCCTATTGCCGATGTAGAACCCCTCCTCAAGGGCGTGGTTTAAGTTCGCTGTGTCAAAAATAGCTTTTTTGGGGGCAGCGAACTCTGTTAACACTCATCAGAGTCTAAATATATTTTTAAAAAATTTTAAGCCTGAAAGAAAGATAACATTCTAAGACCTTGGCGCAGATGGGATGATATTAAAATGTTTCAGACACAAACTGTAAGAACGGATTGATTCAACTGGCTAATTACAGCCTTGTCCCTTAATTGTTAGGATGAAAAAATTAAAAACAAAGAGGCTACAGAGTTTTGGTGGGGAAAATCTGAAGAAAAACAACGATTGTAATCACTTTTGCAACAGAACAAGAGAGAGAACAACATTAATATTTATCTGGCAAAAATATGTATAGAATCCTAAGCAATTTTAACGAAGCCGAGCCAAGCTTTTGTCTGGAATTTCTTAGATAAATAACCGATAACTGAATCAGCGATATCATTCCCCCAGTCTAGATATCAACCCGGTACCTCCAGAACAAAAGTAAAATTATTCACCGCTGTTCCAAATCACGTGAGATCAAAACTGGAGTTTCTAAAAGCGAAGGCTTAATTAAATATGACTTTAAATTTTCATCAAACACTTTTCTTACTGAACGGGTGCTATACCGAATTATATTCAAACAGAATGACGGACAGGCGTGTTTGCTTTGTTACTGAACACAAAACTGATTACTGCTGTGTGTAAGGAAACAAAGAGACGACTTGAAAGCGTAGCAGATAAACTAAGAACAGCCAAAAGGAGGGGGAAATTTGAACTGAACTGAGCGCAACGAATTCTTTGATCAGTGATCGACTGTATTTACCAACATCTACAGCGAACTTTTATCCAAGTAAGCCAAAAATCAGGTGTGAAATATTTTTAACAAGCGTTTGAGATAAACCCAAGATCTATATTCGTATGTAAAAAATATTCGTTAAAATTGTCAAATCTAATTGAAGACTGGCATGATTCGGAAATGTTTAATTAAAATCGCCAAAACAGATTTGAATTAAAACCAGATTATCCGTTCTCTAGTTGATTCCAGCGTACGGTGGAACATTATTACGTTCTACGTCACATCAAAATGGACGCTCCTTATATTTCCCACCATGACTTCAAAAGCATTACTTTGAAACACGAACATCATCTGAATAATATTACAAATATAGTCCGTACCTCAAAGAGAACACATCTCTTCACCATTACTAAGATCAACTGGTTAACGCTGTTTAAGGAAATAATACCTCTTTATTCTGAGAATACGAAACCCGTACACTCACTGCGTGGGTCAAACTCAGAGTCACTACAAGTTAGGTTAGGTTTTGCGTAGATTCCATAAGGTCACCACGGCGCTTTAAGGGGTTAATATAGAATGTCATATATTTGGTTACAGAAACGCTTAGTCTGACCACACGAATGATGGAGACAATACAATGTCGGGTCTGCACTTGTGAACTTTAATATGGCGAGCGGTGAAACCAATCAGGAACTACGGTTAAGCTACTGGGGTTTGCACACGTCATGTTCCAACCTCGTCATGACGACAAAATATCCCATTGCAACCCGGTAAAGTTTACTGAAAAAATGTCATAACTTCCTTCACGAAAGTGAAATTCCCTCTTTCCGAGTATTAAATCTATATTAAACTACTGCACTCTAATTTATACATTATTATTAACACTTTAAAACCCTATGGTAAATATATGTATTACCCGTTTAAACAATAAGCAACTTTTCATTTCGTATTTATGTGTTTTGTATGATTTTCACTGTAAACAGCGATTATTTCCTTAAACAGCGTTAACCAGTTGGCATTTGTAATGGTGAAGTGTTGTGTTTTCTTCGCGGTACGGACTGAATTCTTAAATATTATTCAGACGATATTCGGCTTCAAAGGCATATGGCGCTAAGTAGATAAAGTAGAAGCTGAAAAGCCTCACCTGCCCCCACCCCCACAATCAGAATGACATTTGCAGACTTGAGTATTTGCGCGGGCAACTAGCCCACGTCAATAAAGAAAAGGCTTTTAAGTCCGTGGCATTGAAACACAACAGACTTCGCTGTTTTCCAGTCGTACGACTTGAAAAGAAAATATTACACACCAGGAATTTGTTTTAAGCACATAATAGGCAGGGGTATTGAATGTGACACAATGCATTTGTCCCGGAATAAACCACTGCGTTTTTGTGATGAATTTCCAGTTCAGAATGGTCTGTACACGCGTGCAAATGTATGACGCCATTGCTTTTCAGATTCGCTTTAGGAAAGTTGAGGAAAATATGGAGAGATTGCAGTTGAATGGGACACGTCAGCTTCTGTTCCATACTGATGATGACAATTTATTTGGCGAAAATATAAAGACCAGAAAAAAATAAAAAATATTGGATGCTTGAAGGAGGTCACTCGAGAAACAGACAAGGAGAAAATTAAGTGGGTCTGTCCGTCCGTGTATCGTTACGACTTTACGAAACAAAGCCGCTAAGTTCAGTGGTACTTAGCGGCTTTACAACGACAGTGTCAAGCCTAGTTTACGTTCATGAGGAATTTAAAAGCGGATTAAAATAGGAAGGTGTTTGACTTCATAAGGTTCAGAATCGTTAGTCACTACGTCTACTATCATGATTGCAACATACGAAAGCATAATTTAATCGGTCATTTGCAAAATCAGACAACCAGACTGCAACATAGAACCAGATTTTACCGTCAGTGGACAAAGAAGCTGGTAGTCAATGGGACAAGTTCTCCTCTCGAATTTCAAATGTTCGCATCCCAACACTTCTTGACAACTGGCGGAAGAACCCGATACCGTTCCCGCCAAGTCCGTTTCACGGTGGCGCTGTCTAAGAACCTTCTGTCGCCAAGTCGGATAAGCAGTTTGACAATCGCGTTTAACGACAAAGTTGCGTGGTTCGACAGCACGAACTTACACAACTTAGTGTCTCTGTTACCACCACCAACTTTCTTGTTTAGTCGGGGGTACAAAACAACAGAGATCTTCGATACCAAGTCTTATTCAGGGGAAATGAACGAATCGACTAGCTCCAATGGCGAAGAAATTGTTTTGCGAACGCCTGACGCAGATTTCTCTCATCTTCTTACAAGATCGAATGCAGATGCGTTTGTTAACAAACAAAAACCTTCTCCGAGTCTCAAAGGACTGTACACGAAGACGCCGTGTAGTCTGGTAGATATTGACTGACGTTTCAGATGTGTTTTCTGCTTCCATCATCAGGGAGATAACACCTCTGCACCTCTGAAACGTCGGTCAATACACTGCGCATCCCAAAAGACAGCCTTGTTCACACTCGCCACCGAGAGAAACTAAAACTTACCAGGATTCACGTCGATTCTAGACGTGCAATTCGCTACACTTAACTGTTCTCGGTGATTATTTATGACGCATAAAATATTTTCGTTCGATGACGATAATCATTAATCATTTTAATCTGACACGAGAAATGCGTATGGTTTCATGTTAAACGCACATGCCCTGTAATAGTATTAGGAATAAAACCGATTTAGTTTTAACCTTTGGCAGTCATTTCTCGTACCATCGCGATTAAAAGTGTTTTAATACGCGTTTAACGCAAAGGAAGCAAAAGTAGGTTTATTTTTTCTTAGAACATTCCAAGGCGACCACTCTTTGACTCTCGGTTCACATTTACTTAATTTAAGAAGTCTTTGCAGTCTATCAGATTAAGGCTGTTTGAGAACACAGCGGTAAATACAATATTTGGACCTAAGAATGAAAAAGTGACAAGATTAGGAGCTTTTTAATTTTCACTCTTCAACAGATGTTATTAGGGTAAACAACTGAAAGTGGTGGAGATGGGCGGGGCACGTAGCGCGCAGAAATTCGTACAAAACTGACGTTAAAAACCTTATAGAAAGATATCATTCAACTGGAGAGAACTAGACGTAAATGGGAGGATAATATTAAAATCGATCTCAAGAAAAGTTGTGAGGGCGTAGATGGATTCATCTGGCTCTGGATGGTGAACAGTGGCGGAGTCTTGTAAACACCGTAATGAGCATTCTGGTTCCATAAAAGGCGAGGTATTTCCTGAGTAGCTAAGAGTATTATTAATTTCTCATAAGGGACTCTACTTCATGGGGTTAGTCGTAAATGTGTAGCCACTTTTCACTTTTAAAAATACGGTTTCACCACGTCAGGATTACCAACACTACAATTGTTACCATCCCTTATCGTTAGGGGAGTGTAACTAATCTTGTTTATATGCAAGTGACTTACTGAGGTCTCTCTGGGAACAAATTCCAGTCAGCTGAGGCTTTATAAATCAGCGCATGCGCGGAGAATGTCTGCACGCTTCTAGAACTTAATTACATTCATTTTCCTATAACCCGAAATATGGAACCACCGCAATTAATTGAACTTCAGTAAATTTAAAATAAAATTACCTTCAACACGCAACAAAGCCAAAATATTCAGTTGGAAAAAACGTTGTTAAATAAATCAAACGAACTTTTAAATTAGTTTGTCACAACCCTACTTCTCTGTTAGAACATTGGATATTCTGATGCTAGGTTTTCCTCAGAGCGTCCCTGCAAATGTCTAAAACTGGAAGTTCTTCTACCTGCATCCACTTAAATTCACGGTGATTTCAGCAAAGTTAAACAATATCTAAAGCAACTAAAATCACCTCTTTACCTCTAGCCTTAATAATTTCAGTATATGGTACAAATACGTAAAATAAGCCTCAACGCTACCATCAGCTTATCTTCGCTTAGAACTTCACATTTTCGCGAAGGGACGGCTTCATGCAGCGTACAGTGACAATGAAAATTAAACGAAGATGTCGGTGTTGGTATTCCGGGTTACACATACGTGTCGACTTGTATGTAGCCCTGAAGATGGAAGCAATATATTCCCCCGAAACATTAGTATTTACCTACAAATCCACGTGGCATTAATTACGGAGAAAACCAACGTCGACATTATGCTTTCACTACATTAATCGAATACGAGAAACGAGAATCGAACCAGGCATTTTCTAATTTTCACGAAGATCGCTCTCTGTGAAGACGGCAAGGGTAAAAACGAAGAAGCAGAAAGGTAAGTTCATGTGTACGTAAATGATACAGAACCCGCCTCCGGGGGACGACGTTGGATGTCATCCGACGGCTGGACCGAGGATGATTCTGTGGCCGCTGTAATTTTAGTCCGGTTTATAGAGAGCGCTGTGCTAGCCTCTGTGGGCACTGCCCTTCCACGCAATTCGAGAAGCTTAATGTAGGATTTCCGAATGAAAAGTCTTCATAAATTTTACCTTCCGTAAAATGTGTGTTCCTTCATTAAGCCCCATAATCGCTCGGACGTTCGGTGAAAATTCTCGCTTACGTGTCTAATTGTTCCCAGATATTAAATTTCACAAAAAAAGGACGAAAACTTGTGGAACAAACTTCGTGGTCCAGCAGTTATTAACACTCTTACTTAATATTCGAGGGATCGCAGATATGTTGATCGATGTTTCGTAATTTTTCTCAGTTCCTCCAGCCAAATGTCGTGATAGTAGTCAGACCACGAAAACATCCTTCCACACCCTTTCCAATCCACTGTTCTGTAATTTATTTGTGGGTTATTTAAGGACAAAGTCAGTAGATCGGACTACATAGAGCCTTATGACAGGATTTTCAATGAATAATGAATTGGGAAGGATGTGGAAGGAAACAAACAAGGTCTGATATAAGGCGTTGTCTCGGTATTTGGCTGAAGTGACTCTGAAAAACCACGGAACCCCACAGTGAAAATATCCGATCTCGGGGTCAAGATTTTAACCCGGGACTTCAATCCCTACAGATTTCGTCAAAACACGACAATTCTGTGCATGAGCACTAAACCTTTTCAACTAAGTACATGGAGCAGAGTAGTTCTTTAGAAGCTGATATTTGCTGAGCGAGTAAAGAATTTCCCGGTCTTCTACAGAAACAGAAAGTTCATTCATTACCGCGTTCACAAAAGCCCGGAAACCTTCCCTACCCCGAGCCAGATCACAACCCCATTCCCCAAAGATGTATTTTAATATTATCCCAGATGTTTCGAGTGGTGGATTCTCACTCACCGGGTACTCGTCGTATCTCACTCCGGCCTGGTAGTCGGGGTAGTCGGCCACTGCAATTTCCCCCTCCGAGGGGCTCCGCTTGAACACTCGCTGTTCAACGGGTGACGTCACGGGGTTGCCCTCCGCTGAGGCCAAGAACGTCCCGGAACATGACACGAAGACGAGGGCAAAGAGCCAGAGGTACGAAGTGTTTCTGAAAGGCAGAGATGCGTTCGAGATCGGCGGAGAATGCAGAAGGGCGCAGGGAGTGTGTGGAGTGTTCGCGTGAAGTCTTCGCTGGTGGAGGCGCAGGGTTCGTTGTCCCATTGATGAAGCTGTCGGAACCTATCACAGACAGAGAGAAACGTACTCAGATCAAACTATCGCACGGGCCAATGAAATTCAGCTCTTTAACACACGATAATACTAATTGTGTAATGGCAAACACCTTCTGGATCATCTGCCAAGAACGTATATGAACAGGTCCCAGTCCGAGAAAAGGATGGAAGGATCCTGTTCATATGGACCTGTCGTCAGACAGAACACTAAATAAAAAATACTAATTGTAAACAACAAACAACAAAAAATAATACTTACAAAGACAGAACGACGAAACAAATCAGTTTGGTGTAATAATAATTTTATTCAAGTTCTGATCTGATTTCTTCTTTTGAGTTTCCAAAGTAATGGTAAATTTCTCATGGCAAGTAACCTGTCTGTCGATGAAATTAAAATCGCGAGAGAAAAAACAAAATGCACTTGGATGGACAAAAACTCACGCTAAAGTTAACGTGGTTGGGTTACGCCTTCGTGTCAATGAAACAAAAAGATTGACGTTTTCCGAACCACATTCATGTAAGCGGTTAAATTCATCTGTAGAAGCTCGGGTATGTTTGTCTGTGGGTTTCCATACCAACAAATCTACAAGCGTTAACACATATGAACCTGTTTTCCGCGTTCATCTTCAAAATAACACGGTCGACTGTCGTGTTTATGATACGTCATTAGTCATCTCGATATTATTAGGAAACACACAAGAACATGTTAGATTTATATAACTTTAAATTTCACTGGAAAATGTCTTCATCTATCCACGATCTCCTCATAATATACTCTTATGTCTCGATGCACTAGAACGCGCTAAATACATCCAGAATTCAGTAATTACCATGACGACAAGTAATTATTGTTATTATTAAGAGTGGCTTAAGTGAAAATTAAGTCCAAAATTACCATAGTAACTGTGTTTTAGTTATAGATAAAGCACACTACGACAACTTCCAGTTCAGATCACCAACCACTGTCAAAAATAGGGGGGGGGGGGGGGGGGGTCATAGGAGCCTCAGCGTCTGTGACTATTTGTGACTGTACACAATTCAATTACGCAAATTAGTTACCCGAAGTAAGGCAAAAATACACAGTACCTGTCAGGCAGCGAAGGTTCTGGTAATTGTGCTTAAGAATCAAAAATGAAAATTCTTACAAGAAGTCTTTGTTAGAAACTGCTAAAATGTGCCTGTAAATAAATTAACCTGGATGAAACCTCAAAATGCGTTCACAAAAAACACACAACACCACCTTAAGAAACAATTTAATTTTACTTTAATTTAAAGTAGGCCAACACAAAAAATATTACTAAAAATATTCATTTCTGTTCTGCTTACCTCACTGGCTTTGAATCTCGTTTGTTGAAGACAGAAATGTGCTGGTACAAATTCATTCAAATTAAACAAACCGCAGGACATAATTGTATGCGTCATTTCAGCTTATCTAACGTAGGGGCTTTGTTGACTAGTAATATATATTATTAATATTAATTTCGCGCCAACAATATTAATGCACACAATTACTAACTTAAAGCGTTTTACCTAAATCCAGTAAGTAATTTGGAAGTTGGAACATGCAGACTGACGACCAAAACCTCATCACCGATTTTTTTTATTTTATACAGTGTTTTCTACTCAGCGCAACCGAGAAGCAAAAATATGCGTCAAGGGTCGGCCGGACCTCCGGGAGGAGCGACCGACTCGTACGCTAGCCCGCGCCCACCAAAAATTAAGAACTCCCTGTATAAAGAATTAGCAGAGATCTTCACAAACAAAACTGAAGCGGTGAGCGTAAGTTATTTAACTGGACTTGTGTCTTAATACAAATTTCTCTTTTTTATAATTTACTAGACGTGCTTAAAGCCAATCATGACGACGTTTAAATAAATTCCAAATAAGGTTCTTTAACACTGTTTTAAGAACGTATGCCACAATTAAAATACTTCGACAAATTTGACAAACACACACACACACACACACACAATATGACACTAGTAAGCTGTTAGATGATTCATAAGCACTCCGTCGCTGGAAAACACACGTTGGTACTCTCTTTCTTGACTTACAGAATCCTCAAGCTCATTAGAAGGAACGCTTATATAAACAATTCTATAATTAAACACATTTACAAACGTTTTCTATAATTAAATTTCTTTTCTAGTTAAAACAAGAAGGCGCATAATATATTCGCGGAGAAAAGAGGCAAAATTAATACAAAAAATCACACACAGAAATAAAAATAAATACTATTAACTAGTGTTTCATTAACGATAGCAAAATGTGCACGATATCAAAGCCGTGGCTTGTCAATGTATTTTCCAACTTGCCGAGATCCCTCTTGCCACAAACTAAACTACGTGTCTCGCGAATAATTATAAACCAAGCGAAGAAAATCATACGACGGCTAGGAGTGACGGTACGCAGACTTAAGCAACGCAAAGTGTACAAGCAGTGAACGACTTACAGAAACTTGACGGGCGTTCGGCACACGTTCGCTGTCACTTCTTCCGACACTGTGGATCATGTCGGTCGCCGTCCGCCCTTTTATACGTTCCCCTTGTTAACGTTCGTTTCGAAGTGCTTACAGAAACAGCCGCGACAAATTGTAACTTTTCCCTATTAACCACCCCCGCCCCCCGCCCCCACGCAACATTTCCGAACGTCTCGATCATGCGCCGTGACAAAATTTATGAACCTATGTCCTTCCGCCCTCAGTTTACGTTCATGAAAGTTTCCAGGATGGCGGGCAGAGGTTACCTTGTGCGCGCCTAGGTTCCCCGACCGCCAGACGTCGCTCACACCAGGCGTCCACGCGCCGATCTGACGTAGTCCACACATAGACAGTCCGGCCACCGCCTCTCTGGGGTACCCGGAGCGAGAAGTCGGCCAGTCACCCCCTTCCCCCCACACTACAACCCCCCCATCCCTTCTCACACTTGATCATCACTCTCCTGTCAGATCCATTTCCCGTCCCGTATGTGTCGTAAGACCGAAGTATGCCCGCAGTTCTTTGCTGCTGCATTTCAGTGGACAACGTGCTAAGGAGATTATCTGGACCAAACAGGGATGAAGTGACAGGAGGCTGCAGGTTCATGGTTCGTACGTTTCACAAACAGTAATTACGACGATCAAATGAGGACGAGATGGGCGGGTTATATAGCACGCATGTTGAGCATTACATAAAAAATTTTAATCACTAAACCTGAAGGGAAGAAATCACTTGGGGAACCTGTTTCGACACTGAAGGATAATATTAAAATTGATCTTTAAGGAATAGAATTCATCTGGCTCGAGATAGGGACTGGTGGCGGCCTCTTGTGAGCACGGCGATAAAGCACAGGGTTCGGGGAAGGGTAATGTAAAGTCTGACCAGCTGAGCCACTAGTTTATTCTCAAGAAAGATTCTGCAGCAAAATAACATATAATTCCAATAAAGTTCATTAACAATTTTCGAAAATTTCATTGAACAGGAAGGCGACGGAGCTAAACTCAGCTTGACGACGTTCTAGGTTTTTGTAGCTGTGTAAACTCGTCCGTGAACGCCACTGTTTCCAAGGAACTGTCTACCAACGAGTTTACTCGGCACCAAAACCAAGAGAAATGTCATAAATCTTACCGCCATGAGAACCTCAGAACTCCACTGCATATGAAGTTCAATCGCTTGAAGCATTTCAAACGCCTAATCGTAAATTATTTTGCGTCTTAAAATAAATTGTCTCCAGGCCTTAAGTAGACTTATTTGGAAAAAAAAGTCAAACGTTTTATGTTTTAATCCCACTGTCTGAAGGCTTAAACAAGTCATTTCTCTGAAGCAATTAGATGATAAATTCTGCAAACCTGATATGATTTAAAATATCCCTTTGATTCTGGCTGGATACCCAGTCATCACTGGAAATGAGGAACTGCATTATAAAATTAAGTACGCTAATAAATGAACGTCGTTTTATGTAGGAGTTAAATTTTGATAGATTAACAGAGATTAAGGGCGTCTCAGGACTAGGCGCGTAAGAGGATATTTTGACCTAAGATAAATAAAGTGAAAGATGAAGGGGAAACAATTCAACAGCAAGCAAGGAGTGATTCATAATCACGCTCTTCACTTTGCGTTCCTTAATCAAGAAGAACGGATGGGCACGAAGCAAGGGAGAAACCTGAAACATATACGAAACGTCGATCTTAAAACCTCGAAAGCATTCGAATGTAAATTATCATTTGATCGGAGCAGAGGGCAGTATATGACACTTAGTCCCCTGAAGAAGGAAACGTTTTGTTCGGTCGATAGCTGTCATCTGTTCAAGGAGTGAAGAGTGTTGCGTATAATTGGGTAACACTATTAATGAACTTAGGGATATAGCAGTACACACCAAAACGTCGGTCGATATGTACAAAATTAGGTTTAGCCTCGCAGCCGTGAAAACGTCAAACCTTACCCACTGCTGGTGTGTTCGATGTAGGTTTAGCCTCGCAGCCGTGAAAACGTGAAATCTTACCCACTGCTGGTGTGTTCGATGCTCCGGGAAGTGCAATACAAAAATGGACACTCAGACACATTAATGTGTATTCATTTACTTTATGCATTTAGAGCATTTTAACCGCGTAAATTCTGAGGCAAGTGTGCCTCGCATTTCGAACGTGTAGGTTCGCAAAATTAGCTTTCTCCTTTGAGACATTCTGAGCACACGTTTGGTCTTACCAAGAAGCGACTGGGGCATAGAAAATGAAAGAGAACGGGGAGTAATATACAGAATAAAATGTGCGCGGGGCCTGCGAAGGTAGTAACAAGAAAATTAATTTGTTTATGGAAACCCTGCCGAGAGTGAGATCAAACGAGGGAGTTTCCCACCGATGTGTGTCCTTGTTCACGCATCAAAAAGATTTATATTTTATCATCGACGCAGAAACCGTCTTAAAATGTGATTATTATTTTCTTAGCTTTATTTTGCGTTCCACAAATAACGCCAAGATGAGTTTTGCTCCGATTATTTCTCATCATTACAACGCAACGGAGCGTAAAATCTT